AGTGAAAAGCAGCCTTTGTGCATCCTTCTTGTGCCGTTGCTTCCAGTTGGGCAGCAGATCAAAGCCGGCAGCGGAGCGGAGACAGGAGTCCAGCCGCCCAGGGATGCGACTGGGGCCCTGCTCCATCCCCTCCACACGCTCACCAGCTTTCCTCCTGGAGGGACCACTTGGGAACGGAGTGTGGGCTGAGGTTATGGTGTTTCTGCTGGCTGGTGGCTTTTGCGAGGTGGATTCCTATCTGAGAAGTTCAAGGCTGAGATAACTAAACTCATTTCACCTCAGAGGACTGCCCGGTGTTGTGCAGGAGCGGGGTCATATTCCCAAGGGATTAGTTAAATTTGGGAAAAGGTGATTCCTCAGAGCACTTGGAGAGAGAAGAGAAATGGTTATGAAAAGAGAAATCCTCCTGAAACTTTGCAATCTGTGAACGTGGGATGTTTCTCCCCAGTGTTGGATTAGATCCCTGCGAGAACAATAGAGTGCAAAGGAGAGAAGTGATCAAATTCCTGCATCTCAGCAGGTCAGACCAGCAGCAGGATGCTCGGCCGTTGAGGTGGGAAGTTGCTACGTGTACTGCTTCTCCCCCTACCCGCTCCAATCCCGTTTTCAATTTAAAAGCAGTTTTTAGCTGCTGCAGTAGGGCTGGGGAGGTTTGGACTCTCGGGCACGAAGCCATTGCTGAGTCAAAGCATTCAGCCACAAACTCTCTTGGCCAGCTGAACTTCGTCTCTCCAGCGTGCAAGAGCCCAGGTTAATTCTGTAGTGAAGCTGGAGGGTTATTGAATAATTTTTTGGGTTAGACAAGCAGGGAACAAGGGAGAAGGACTAGAGACATCTTTCTTTAAGGGGCTGTTTTCTTTTTAGTAGCTAAGCATCCCTTTATAAAGAAGATGCTTAATGCTGTGGTTTTAATATTTTATGCATGCCTGTTTTTTGTTTGTTTGCTTTTGCTTGCTTGTTTTTCCAGTGAAGGCACAGAGCAAATTTAATATCTGGTGTCACTCTTAAAAAGATGTCCTTGTACATCTCTCCTTTCTCCCTCTCAGGGCCCTGTGGTTTCACAGTTTGCAAGCTCCTAGATTCAGGAGATACTGTTCTCTTTAGAAGATGCAAATTCCTCTTTTCCTTGTGCAAGGTAACTTTTTCCTTATGTGTCTGTCTTCAGCAGGTCTTTTGAAAAGGGAGAGCAGGGCTGACGGGGGCCTTGTGCTCCTTGGCCATTGGAAGGATGCCTTTGCCACCAAGTAACAGAAGATGGACAGATTAGTTTCCAATCCCAGCAAAAGCTGTTTCACTCCACTTTTCATACACCTGGCATGAGGAGCGACCTTTCTTCCATTCCTTGTTCCAGTTTATTTGAGAAAGTTGCATCTTCCCCTTCGCCCACATGCCTGACTTGCTGGATCCCCACTCTGGGCAAACACATCCTTGGCAAATTCCACTTGCAGTAGGGCTACTACGAGCACCCGGAGGCTGGGACAGCTTTTAAAAATGATTTTCTTCCTTCCCTTTGTGTAAATGTGGGCACCCTCTGAGCTCACATCCTCAGCTCGTGTTCCTGGTGCTTCTCGCAAACAGTCCTTGGCAAAAGAGAGGATTTTGGAGTGTTTCACCCAGCTCTGCTGCTCTGAGTGTTTGGATTGCTGGGCTGGGGGACCATGTGTAGAGGGAGCAACCTTGTTAATCCATAAGAAAGCTGCTGTTGGAGGGAGGATCCGCTGGAGAACTGGGCCAAAATGAGAATCAGGCCTGATGTGATCTGATTGCGTGTGCTTGTCTTCCATGTGGTGGGACTGAAAGGTTCTACCTGGGGCTGTGGTACTGGCAGATAAAGCTAGGGTTTGAGTTTCATCCAAAGCAGCAGAAAAGATTGCTAGACAGATGTGTGTTTTGACCATTGCAACAGGGAACAAATCTCTTCCTTTACCTTATTCCAGTGAATTGTAGTGCAAAGTCACAGCCAGTGCAAAAGCTTTCCTTGCCCTTCTCTACGTTTGGGAGATAATATCGGCACAAAATCCCAGCCTTGGTGGCAGGAGATTTTCTGGAAAGGGTCCAGCTCAGGTCCCTGCTACAGGATGGAGTGACTGCCCCATGGAGGAAACCATTCCGGTAGCTTTGCTGATAAAGTAGAGATCCTTGAATTGATAGTGCTGGTTTGGATAAGGACACTTATTGGCTTGTGGTTTTTGAGCTGCGTCTCTGGTATTCAGACAAATTATAGCTTGTATAATGAATTGTTTGTTTTGCAGTTCTGCTGGAGCCTACGTGCAGAGTCACCAGCAGCTTAGACTAGATCTCAGCTCCAAAATACTGGCCTCCCTGGCTCTCAGTTGAGAACTATCTTTCCTAGACAACCGCAGAGATAAATATCTGATACCACTGTGCAAAGATACAAAGCTCAAGTAAAACTGTGTAAAGCTCAAGCGAGGACTCTTGGAGTCGATAGGATATTTGATTTTCTATCTAAAAAGGGTAGCCTTTTGAGCCCAAAGGGTTCAGCTTGAACAACTCTCCAGTGTTAGATACAGGGGCAAGCACACAAGGCACACAGGGGCTCTACTCAGTGTGCTGTGAAACACTGGGTTTAACCCAGCAGCTCTCCTAAGCAAGAGCTGTGTTGTAACCCAGATCTCTGTCTTGCCATCTGCAAGCCTGATGAATACCTATGAAATCAGCTACCTCCTGCTAGCTGTTTTGATGGCATTACTGCATTAAAGAAGGATTAGTTATTTATTTTTTACAAGGAGCTCTTTTTTTTTTTTTTCTTGCAGGAATAGTGACTTGAGGTCTGTCATGTTTTGCATGCTAACTGCAAGTCCTGTGGCTTTGCAGCAGCTAACACTGTGCTGCTCGTACTCATGCACTGCAGTATCTCTCCTGCTCTGTGACCTCCCTGTGGAGGGGCACAGGGCAGCATTTTTGGTGTGTGACGTCTCAGACTTTTATGCTGTGTGTCAGCCAGGCACCTGCTTCCTGGCAGGGCAGCTTTCTCCTACAAGTCCTGCTGGAAGGTGGGCTTTGCCACCTCCTTGGATCCTGGTGTAGTGGCCGTAACTAACGTGGATATCTGGGAGACTTGAAACTGAGGCAAGCCTGTGACAGCGCTTCTCTAGACATGCTCAAAGTCCTTGGGTTTTCTTTGGTTTTATAATATTTTAATATTTCTTAATGTGCTCATCCTGCAGTTTGCCCATATATTGTTAAGAACAGCCTCCTCCTGCTTGTTTTGGGCTTGTCACCTTAGGCGCTAGTGCTGCAGCCTTGTGCTCCTTCCCATTACTGGATCTGGGGAGGTACACAGAATAAGATGTTTGAGAAACCCAACTTGTTTTTAATGTTCTTCTTTTAGGGAAAAAACATCCAAGAAGTTCTCTACCTAGGAGTTATTTTCATCTGGATTACTAGATGCCTGAAGGAAACTGAATCCACGACACCCAACTAATACCATGCATAGTGGTGCCCTGTGGTGGATGAACCTTGGTTCATCAGTGCAGTCTGGTTAGCGTGCGGATGGGAGAGAAATTAGTTTCCCAGCAGAAAGCAGATGGGCCTTTCCTTTTCCTTTGACTACAGCGCCTGGTTTCAGGAGGTTCTGCATGCAGAGCCTTTCCCTGGTCCGTGGGGAACTGAGGAGGGAGGAGACACTGCCGGGAGTTTATGGCTGTTTCCTGTCTTGTCTGGGCTCTCGTCCCCTCTGAGGTGGTGGGCTGGAGCTGCTGGTGTCCAGACCTGCAGTGCTCTGTATTCCTGCCAAGAACATCCCAGCAGCAAAGTGAAATTGCAGCTCCTTCCTTGCCCCCTCACCCAGACAGCACAGCCGGTAGAAGGAAACAGGGGGATGAGTTACATTAATACATTTCGCAGCTGGCAAGGGGAAAAATTACAGTTCTTTCCATCAGAATCCTCCCATCAGGGAGGGCTTGCATTGCCCACCTGCTTTTCTCTGTCGTGATTATCTGGACTGACTTTTCTTCCCTTTGTACTTGCGCCATCAGCAATTACTGCTCCTTGGCAGCAGGCTGCTGCAGGTGGATGCAGGGCGAAGCAGTGTGGATGGACAGAGGGCCAGCTGGAGCAGGACCAAGTTTATCAGGGCTTATTGATAAACCCTGATTTAGCTCTGCAATTTTACCTTTTTGGGAGACATCTTTGGGACACCCTGTCCCGTGGATTCCTGTGTCCTCTGCACTGAGGACATCACACTCAGGTGGTCTCTGCACAATTCCCTGGTCTGCCCTTAATGAGTAAGTCTTCAATATCTAGGTGCAATCTCCCATTTGCTTCTGGTCTTTACATTTCTTTTAATTATATTTACAGCTCTGTAATCAAGGTCTAGAGGTTTATGAAGGGAAAGGGGGACAGGGAGCATAAGGCACTGCTAGTAAAAGCAGTTAACTCTTCAGAGGGCTAAAGAAGTTCTGTGGGATATTAGTGGGACTAGGCAGTGAGCTTGCCATGCAGGTTGTGTGAACAGCCAGGTAAGGTTGTCTCTTACTAGGGGCACCGTATGTGGAAGGGGGAGCAGCTCCTTCTCCAGCTTGTCTCTGCAGCCCGAGGTGGAGTGTTGAGGTAAACACTGCCTGCTGGGCAGGCAGCCAGGATATGGAAGGCCAGGAGATGGGCAGATAGAGTCCCTCATTGTGGCTTCAGGCCACAGCACCAGGCAGTCCTGCCATATTTGGTAGTTTGGTGGGTTTTCCCTGTCCATGGCTCCCTCTTTGCATGGTCCTGCTGATCCTTCCATGTCTTGGCTGTACAGGGAGCGCTGGAGCTGCAGCATCAGCCCTGCCAGCACCCAGCAGACCGGGAACGTGTTGCTGGGATGAACTGGTGTCCCCAAAGGCAGTAGAGGCGCTGCATGACCCCATTGCTCTGAGGAATGAAATGTCTGCAGCAATTATGTTCTAAAGAAGCAGATAAGCTTGAAAGAGAACAAAGTGGAACCCAGTTTTGGCTTGTTTTCTTGCTGAGCATGGAGGGATTTCGTTGCTTGGCCTGAAAAAAAATGGAAAGGGGTGAGAATTATCTTGCAAGTGGAGCTCATTGGAAAAGGAGGGCTCCGTCTGTGCGCAGCAGCTCTTGGACTAATGCAGCCACTTTTCCTAGCAGAGATCAGGCAGCTCCTGCCTTGAGGAAGGTCCCTGTATCACCAGCTGAAATATGGTCCTCCTTTGAAGCTCTACTACCTACTCTGTGCTACATACTCTTGCTTCGGGTGACAAAGATTGACATGTGTATCCTGATACAAGAGTATCTCGCCTTGGCTGGATGGTCTGGTTCTATCACACATGTAAGTTTGGGGAGTAAGGAAAACAGCAGTTCCTCAATGAGCGAAGAGGGATCCAACTGTGGTAGCCTTTCAAGGCTGCTGAGGCTACTTCTGTAAATGTGTTGAGAGAACCTTTTCAGAAACATGGGCAGCTGGTACAATGTTGGTGCATTTGTTTCAGATTCAGACTGGTTGGGTGTCTTGGCTTATAGGCAGCATTCTTGAATTTTTTTAAGGGTTTTCTTGGCCCATGTTTTTTCCTGGCTTTTTTGTTTGCTTTTTTAATCTGGAAATGTCCCAGATTTCATTGTACTTAGAAAAGGCTGTGCTTGTGCCCTGGGTTTGAGGCCACCAGAGAAGGAAAACGGATCCTGTGGTGACTAACCCATCTCAGCAGCCATCATGCTCATCCTGTCCTTAGCAAGACGGACTTATGCTGAAGTTGCCTCATTTGCACCTCATAACTGCCAATGTCTCCTGCTTCCTCTGTCCTGAAGGTCATCTTTTCTGCTGCACAACCCTGGTGCTCGTCCTCTCTACAACACTCTCCATTTGGTTTTTCTGTTTTGGGGTATAAATGCTTGCCCCTTCCTCCACTTCTCTCCCATCCCAGAGCTGTCCCTGAGGGGTCCCGGGAAGCAGAGAAGCTCTTCATTAGTCTTCAAAGTGTCGGACATTTCTGAGGTGGTTTTGATCTGTGATGACAGTTTTGGGGTTTGGAGCTTCCCTCACTACTGAGTCTTGTGTCAGATCACCCCTCTCTGCCTGTCTTTTCCAACTGGCCCAGTGTGTCGTGGATGTCAGACCAAGCCGCAGTTGCCAGACCAAGAATGGAGCCTCAGCCTATGAAAGACAAAGCCTTAAATTGCTGAATGGAAGCCGGGGAGATGGGCTGTTGGTAGGGCTGGTGATAACCTCATGTCACCCATGGGAAAATTAACTTGCGTGAGGAAGGTCACATGTGGAAGCGTCACAATGGAAGCTGGATGTGCTTTCCTGGGAGCCTTGCTGACCACTGCACCACGTTGCCTTGGCCATTCATGTGCAACCCAAGTTCCCCTCTTCCCTCTGCTGATCTTTTTTTTTTTCCTTTTCTTTTTCAGAGAACCCATTGGAAAGAAGAAGTCTGGTAAGGGCTCTTTTTTTTTTGCTTCTGTTGATTTATCAGCTCCTCTCTTTTGCTCATGGCCTCGGTGGCCACTGCTGGAGCGGGTGCAGGAACCTGGCCCGGGAGGACCCAGCTGCATGTCGCTGCTGTGCTCCCCGCTGGGGCGAGAGCCATAGGCCCTGCAGCATCGGGATATGGTGTCCTGTGGGGCTCACACTGCGTTTGTAGGGATTTACTCCCTCTTAGTAATGTCTCCTTCCAAACAGGGCCCATGGGAGGGAACAAGAACGAGCAGGAGGGCACCTTCCTCTCACCGCCTTTCCGGGTTTCATTGCAGCCTCTTGGGTGTCTCAGCCCGAATTTGCAAAGCCCCCACCCCTCGTGGGGAGGGGATATTGCTGAAGAGAGAAGAAGCTGGGGCTTTTTGCTGGTTCTTGTGGCCCTGCAGGAGCAGGGCATCCCAGGAGGGGAGGGAAGGCAGCATGCAGCTCGCCAAGCTGTTCATTTGTTAATCTAATTGTTCTGGCGTTGCTGGCTCCTCTGTGTTTGTCTCTGTCCCCTCCTCATGCTTTCTCTCCCATCGTTTTGTTCCTTCATCAGGGTTTATCCAGAGAACGGCTTCTTTCCTTCAGAGAGGTAGTAACGGCAGCGCGCTACCTGGGCCTTGCTCTTGCTTTGCTTTTCACCTGGGTGACACCTGCTCTTTCTGGGCGGGCGAAATCCCTTGCAAGAAGCTGTCACATCCCCTGTAGCTTTCCTTGGTTGCTGGTGGACGCAGGGAAGTAGTGCTGAGCTGAGAGAAGGTATGGTGGGCTTTGGGACTGCCGCTTGGCTGAGGGTTGTGAGCCAGCTCCTTGCTCCCTGTTAGTTCAGCTCAGCTCTGAACTTGGGGAGTATTTTACAGGTCCCAGGCAAAGGGCAGGACTTGGTCTTTAGCCAGAAATTGGAGGCTGCAAAATTTCATGTTACCCTGAAGACTGGAGGAAGGTCTGACTTGTGTGATGAATAGCATGAAGCCGAGAGTGTCCCGATTGTGTGATACTTTCTGCTTTATGATCATAGCATGGCTGTACATTTTGGGTGGCACGTCTGGGATACACTATCTGCACTACTGAAAACAAGGCCACATATCTCTGCAAGATCCCTTAGTTGGTGAGTTTAAAGGTTCCCAAAAACATGAGAGAGGAAAACTGGTGAGTTTAAAGGTTCCCAAATCTGAGGTTCCCAAAAACATGAGAGAGGAAAAGAACCTTCAATCTATGGATTAGGCAAGGTGTCCTTCAGGTACTGAATTTGCAGAAAGTATAAAATACAGTGAGGGCCTTTGGGAAGGAGGGAAAACTGCATAAGAAAAGTACTTGTGGATGAGTGGAGTCATCTCATACAGAAAAAAGGTACAGAGGAGACTTGGAGATTTAATGCTACTTTTCTTCCTTCTCTATTTGATTGGAAGAACATATCTCCTTCAGGAACTTATGGTGTTCCAGCCTCTGAAGTGAGATTAGTTCTGGGATGAGCATGAGAAGCTCACATATTTTCTAGTGGAGCAGTGGCTCCTGGTTTTGCTCTGTTTTCATGGGCACGTAACAACTGGGTGATCTCCTGATTAGCTAGCAGGGATGCTTAAGTCTGGTCAGACTTAACCTGAGTCCAACTAGCAGTATGGTTAAAACCCTTCGACAGCACTTTCTGCCCAAGGTTTGTCTGCTGCAAGAAGTGTCTGTCAAAACAAGATCTTGTAGTTACAGTTTTATAGCTCTCAGGAGCCATATCCAGGCTTGGACAATGGATTTTGTATTAGCTTTCTTGTACTGAAATGGTGGGGCTTGAAACAGCTTTCTCATGTGAGTTTTTTAAAGGTTTTGCTTCAAGTTGAGCTGCTTGTTTCAGTGCAAACATGCTTGGCAGTAGAGAGAAGTGTATGAAGCAACAAAAGCAGGCTGCGATTTTTTTTTCTTTCTTTCTTCTCTCTTTCGATAAAACTGAGGTTAAAAAAAAAAGTTATGATCTCCATTGTCTTGAAAGCTTCTCTTGTGTGATGGCTCAGTACGAACATTTGGTGAATAAGGTGCTATATTTCCTTATGAGAGCAGAATATCTTTAGATCTCTTTGAATCCAGTCCACTTGCATTAGGCGAGAGCAAAGGAGAGCTTTCTAGGGTTGAGAAGAGAGAGAAAGTTTTGCTGCATAAATGAATTCTTCAAGTGAAGAATTCACCTTAAGAATGCTGTCTGTTAGAGAGAGAGGAATTTTTGTGCCTTTTGTGCATGCAGCATCACTCTGTCTTCCTGCCTCCCATATTCCCCTTAGCCAAGCGGGTTTATGCTGCCTTTTGTCGCCCAATTCTATTAGGACAGCAGGTTTATAAGTGACGCAGTTAAATTGCTGAGATGAAGGAGAAAATGCTCTTTGGGAAGCTGTTTGCTTAGCATCATTAGGAGGGAGGGAACACGGAGAGTTTCTTGGGCAACTTCCAAGACAGAGCCTGGCTCTGGCAGGGCAGGATACAGTGTTTTGCCTGTGGCACCATAATTCCCTTTTTTGGCTCCTAGCTTATGTGTAGTAGCCATCAGGGAAAGATACTTGTGTGCAGTAACATTACAAACGGCTGATGCTTTGTGCCAGGTGTGTGCAGAGACTCTTCTCACTGTCTTGCATTCTCTGGCAGCAGAAACAAACTTTGGTTCTGTGCCCATCATTTTGAATCTTCTTCTACCTTGAAGAAGTCCCTGATTATCCCTTGGTTTCTCAAGCCAGGCCTGCTCTGAGGTAGGAAATATGCAGCAAGACACAAAGGAGGCTCTTTTAATGTATGATCTCCCCGAGGAGGGGAGCTAGCTAGCGAGCAATAATAGCTAGATTAGTTTCCCAATTGCTGTTTTCTCCCAGCCTTGCCAGAAAAGGGGGTGAGCTGTTCTTTAGAATAGCACTGGAAAGAACAAACGTTCCTGAGCTTTTGGCAGGAGCAAGCACAGTTTAGAAATGGACTGTGAGCAAACATGGGGATGTTAAGTGCTAAGTGGGTTAAAGTGTTGCCTGTCCTGAGCCCTCCTTGCTGACCAGGAGGATTCAAGTGATGTTTGTTGTAGTGAGGAGGGCCCAAAGCAGGGACATGGCCAGTATGAGTCAGGGAACACTGGAGATAAAATCTGCTTCCTACTGATATTTGTAATCCTGCAAAGTCCCTGAGCCTGCGGCCTGGGTCCAAGCCCTCCTGTGCTTGGCTCTGTACAACCTGCAGCTTGCTGGGAGAGTGGATTATAGGACTTCGGGACTCTGAAGTCTAACCTGGCCACTGATTTAGGTACCTCCAAAAGTAATCATCATATCAAGCCTCCAGACTGGCTTGAGTTTTTCCATTTGCTCTCCCTTTTGCAGTTCAACAGAAAGCACTAATTGACAGATGGAGGTTCAGAGTGTTCACTGCAGCACTGCCATAGTGCATGAGAACCCCAAATTATCCTACAGTTTATATTTGGGTTGAACTGCTCAAGCAGGCTGGTGGAGGGGCTCCAACACCCCCTCGCCAAACTTATTTTAGATGAATCCTTGAGTGGCCTTATCCATTTTGCTGTGTTATATAATGTGCACTGAGACCCGCAAAACCAGTACGCAGCCTAGAAAGAGACAAGCAAGGCCAAGCACAGCACTCGTATCCTAGGACAGCTGTAAGAGAACCTTTTATAAACTCCATGGATGAGTGGTATTTCCATTTGGTTTTTCTTTCCCAGCTCTGACAAAATCCCTGGAGAGGAGAGGGCTTGGAAAGAGTTCAGCCCAGCACCTCTGCCAACGTCACATGAGAGGCTGGGGACAGTGCTTGGCCAGGCAGCAAAGCTGGGGGCACCTGCACCTCACCTTGCTCTTTGCTGCAGTGACAGGGTCAGCCCTGCAAGTCCATCCAAGGACGTCAGTGGTGACTTGACTCAATGAGCAACCCTTCTTTAGGCCACATGTTAGTATCAGTCTCACAAATGTGTGGGGTGATGTTCAGGATCCACAGTCCTCGTGTTGCTGGCTACAGCCGCTGTGCAAAACGGCTCTCTCTTGTGGGCCACATACTGTCCCTGACACATCTGCTCCTCCCCAGCCACAGCACTTCGGGTGCGCTCATCTTAGATGGTAGAGTTTATGCCACTGTTATTTTTAAGAGACTGACTCTGTCCATGAATAGGCTGCTTTATTGTTAACTCGACATTTTATTTTTGTGGTTGAGGATGATTACACCAGGTGAAGTCACTCCTGAAATTAACTCCTACTTCTTCCTCCAAGTTCATTTTACTACTGCTCTTGCTGGTTTAAAAGGTGTGTTGGAAGGTCCAGAATTGCATGCTAAAACTACAAATAGCCTCAGACCAATGGGCATAATTATAGCTAGGGGGAACTATAGCTAGAGAAAGAAATGTACTTCTCTCTTCCTGTCACTGGTATTCCTCTCTTAGTGGCTGGGTAGATGGTCTGATCATTTTAAAACACAAACCTTTAATTGAACTAGTATAACAGATAGTGCCCAAATTGCTAGCATCCTCCATTCACATTAAAGGGCTATTTTAATTCTGCCTGGCATCCCACCTTTGCGTTTTGGTGGAGAAAGCTTTCATTACTGGTAACAGAACCTCTGCATTTGACCAAATCACCTGCAGCTATGCAGAGAACTCTTTATATAGACAGTTCACCTCCTGTTTCTTTAAATAAGACTGTCCTGAAAAATACATCATTCATTTAAACCTTTGTTGTGGTCTTTCCTTCTTAGAACCAGTTTGAAATGACCTTGGACATAGGAACATAACTGCCAGAGAGCAGAGCATCCTAGCATTGCTGAAGACCTGATAGATCTTGTCCATCTCTACTAACCCCTCATTGTGGTCATGGCAGGATTGTTCTCTGCAATAGGTTCCCCCACAGAAAAGATCTTTTGGCAGGTTAAGACCACTCGTGTGGTGAGGCAGCCATTGCATTGTGTCCTCTTGCAGCGTAGCAGCACTTGTGCATAGAACTGTTTCCTGATGATCTGGCCTGTGATTCTGTTGTATCACTTGTGCTGTAACAATTAATGCTACCCTATTTCCAAAGTACTTGGCAAATTTTAATTAATTCTTACTACTCCTGAGAGAACTGGGTAATGTAATAGCATCGTCGTCTCGCAAGTTTTGAAGCTGCCAGGCAAAGTGTTGGGTCAGAGGTTAAAGCCAAGGCTTGGAGTGAATCAGGAGTAATGTTCAGGAAATTTTGACATCTTTTTGCCCTCCAGAAGCTTTTGTAGGCAGGTGGGGCAAGCGCTGCTTGTGCTCTGAGCTGTCCAGATGCCTTGTGGCTATTTTAGCATAAGGCTGCTCAGTGGGGCTGAAGAGTTTGGACTGAGAGCTGCTCAGTCCTGAGCACATGTGGCATCTGCTCACATGGGCCTGCAAAGCACTGTGATGCTGCAATCTTCCTGCATATAAGTGCAGACTTCTGAGGGTAGCTGTGGTCAGTGTATAGGGACAAACTTAGATGGAGATGGATTTGACCTAAGGACTCTGTTCTAGAACTGCCATTGTAAGGAATGCCAAGCAAATGGGATAGATCTGTACCCAGAGCACTCTTCTAAATAAAAGTGTGCTTGGAAAAATAAATTAGCATCACCCTGCTGTTCTTCACTCTGTCTTGTCCTGTCACTGGCAGAGGATGGATACTGCATCCACGAGTGGCAGGTCCCCTTGCCTTAGCCTGTAGTGCCACCTCGAGCCTCGCTGAGCACTGCACCAGGAGAGCCCTAGTGCTGGCATCTCCCTTGTTCAGGAGCTCTCAGACCTGAATGGTTTACTTTTTTTTTTTTGCCTTAGTGATTGTTTTGCTGCCAATGTATCCTGTCTGTTTGCTCCTTGTCCCCTCTCTGTTTTTTTTTTTTCCCTCAGCTGGTTACTTTTCTGATGTAAAATTGGGAACCTCTGTGAGAGAAGCAGCAGAAAGAGCTGAGCAGTTAGTGGGCCAAATATCTGGGAGAACAAGGTGCATCAACAAGATGTGAGAAGGTGGCTGAAATATTTAAGAGCAGTTTTGATGGAGGCTGCTGCTTTGACCTGCACATGCCCATCCACCTGTGGTGTCCAAACTCTCCAGCCATGACTGGTGAAGTCTGCTGCAGATCATGTGTATTGAGCAGAGGCTTAAGCAGTGCGGTGGGGCAGCTCTTTGTCTGGTGTCTATCCATGTGAGTCTGCCCCAAGCTGCCGGCAGCGGGGACCAGGCTGCACTTTGCATCTTTGGTGGTGGTGGGAATGCTTGGACATCTCTGTGAGCAGAAGGTGGGCAGCAAGTTGGAGATCTCACCTGGCTGCACTGATCTCACCTGGCTGCTTGGTTGGTCTCTCTCCTCCTCACTCTGCCCAAGTCTGTGGCTCACATATCTCACGCTGGGTCCCCAGGGTGTCCTGGAGCTGCTTGCAAGTCAGCAGGTGCTAGGAAGCAGTGACCAACGCTCTCGTGAGCTGGTGGTGACCCTGGCGCGCGGGTCGGTTCTTGTTCCCCCTGTGCAGGAGCTGATTCTGCATCGGTCGATCCCTTGGTGCTGGAGCAGTATGTCGTGGTGGCGGACTACCAGAAGCAGGAGAGCTCCGAGATCAGCTTGTGCGTGGGCCAGGTGGTGGATATCATTGAGAAGAACGAATCAGGTACAGAGACTCTGGCTTGGCAC